GCCTATTGGGCCATACGAGGCAGCTCCTATCTATAACCACCCAATCCCACTCATATACATGTCCAACCCACGTTTGAAACGATCGAGGGACCCCACCTCCACTACGTTTCGCGGTAATTGGTTCCACAAAGCAAGGCAATGTAATCTTTTTTTTTATTTAATTTTTTATACTACTTCTCTGTTCTTATGTTTCTCCCGTGTCCTCCACTCACTGTATCTTGTTCACGTGTTTGTCTGTGCTTGCCGTCTTTGATATATTGTATATGAAGCCTTATAGAACTTGATTTTTCCCCCCCGTTTCTAAGGGAAATAAAATAGTTTCATCTCTTGCTTATGCCACCATCTCCATTCACCTGGGCTGTAGGAGACTCGAACTTCGGACACCCATGCATGTGAAACGGAACCCCATCCCGTTTTTCGCGATGTCTCTCTTTAATTAATTTTTTTCCCGTTAAATTTCTAATTTGCTCATAGTCCTATCCCATCCCCTGTCCCATCCCAAATCCTTATCCTGATCCCTTCCAAGTGATATATAGTCGTAATGGCTTGGCGCTTTCCCCTGTTGGTTCAAAATTCATCTTGAGAGGTTATCTTGAGATGATTTCGGGGCTTTTTAGCGTCCCCGCGGCCCGGTCCTCGACCAGGCCTCCACCCCCAGGAAGCAGCCCGTGACTGCTGACTAACTCCCAAGTACCTATTTACTGCTAGGTAACAGGGGCATTCAGGGTGAAAGAAACTTTGCCCATTTGTTTCTGCCTCGTGCGGGAATCGAACCCGCGCCACAGAATTACGAGTCCTGCGCGCTATCCACCAGGCTACGAGGCCCCAAATAGTCCTATCTCTTATCTATTGCCGCGTCATCGCTAGGTAGCCAGGGGCTATAAGGCAAGCTTGCATCTCAGATTATATCATGTCAATGTTGCTTCTTCTTGGGTATAATCTTGCTGGTATATTTCTTCTCCTCAATCTTGCGTCCTCCCAAATATGCAGAGTCACCGGTGATTATTATTATTATTAAGAGTTTTGCCGTAGGTTATCGTAGGGGGATAATTGGAATTGGTTATCATATCCGTAGAGTTTGCCTCCGCTGCTACTGATGTGGTCTCGTTTCCTCTGTGCTTTCCTTCACTTCCCTTGCCTTGTTTGAGAGTCCATCAGCATCTATGTACCTCACTTTGAGTCTTCACTGCTTGATGTTGTGTGTCATTATATTAAAGGTTCTCTGTATATAAGTTCAAATTTTTTCGAAAAGTTCAATTATTAAGTTTTGTGTGTATGTTAATGAGTTGCTATCTGACTTAAGATCTCAAGTATTTATATTTTATATGTTAGTAAATATTCATCCCCCCCCCTCTCTCTCTCTATCTCTCTCAAACACACCTGCTCACACATACACAAACACACGCACGCACACAAACACCCACAAACCCCACACACAAACCACAGTGAGCCACAAAGAATTACCTTGAATGAATTGACAAATAAAACCAATTAACCTTGAATTAAAATATTTTCACTCGCATAATTCACTGAGTTAAATTCTAGAAAATTGCAGGAAATTGGCTGCAGTCAAGTAGGATGCGAAGTAGATGTTAATTGACCTAAAAGTAGATGTTAATTGACCTAACGAGGAAAGAGATATGTTTACTTGCTAACAATTCCCTTTGGCAATCTTGCATTTCTCAAGGTTACTGAGGCCTCTTCCTTGAAGCCAAAGTTTAATTGATCAAGGGAATTCTAGACTGGGTTCTGGGGCGGTTCTAGTGGAAACTGAACCTTCAGGGTTCAATCTAGTTCTTCAGCACCATGTGTTCATTCTAGTTGTTCAGTATTGTGTGTTCACACCCTAGATCAAGGGTGTGAACACACAATCAATCAAGATTCAATCAAGTGTGGATCAAGATTCTGCTCGGTCAGTCCCCCCCCCCTGTGGTTAAGTGATGATGGTTTATTAAAACTAGTGAGTTGTAAGAAGGTATTTGTTTCTCTCTCTTAACTACCACCATTTTTAAGGTCCTCTCTAACTACCACAATTTTTAAGGCGCCTTCTCAACTACTACTACAATTTTTTAGGTTCCCTCTCAGCTAACACCATTTAAGATACTCTCTCAACTACCAACATTTTCAGGTTCCGTCTCAACCACCACCATTTAAGGTTCCGTCTCAACCACCACCATTTAAGGTTCCGTCTCAACCACCACTCCCTCCACCACCAACCGTACCACCACCACCACCACCACCATCACATGCAACGGTATTTGCTAAGGCGGGTTTCTTCTTCTCTAGCCAGCCCCCCCTCCACTGTGTATATACATACAAGCCTCGGTGTATGATAAATGTTCTCGTATCGCTGTTGATAAACCACAAGCGGAGGTGTAATGACCGTTCATTAGAACGTTTCGTGAGCCTCGAACGCCCGCTCCATCAAGCGGGGCGTTCCACAAGCTTGTAATCCGCACCTGCTCCACTTGCCTGATTGAATTCCAGATCTCTTTGAAGCGAGTCGGTCCGAGTTGCCGTGTAGATCTTGGCAATAACAGCTCTGAGACTCCACTCTCATTACTTTACGACGGGTTTGTGTGTGTTTTCATTTACCTGGGGTTCTAGGAGACTCGAACTACGGTTCCCCTACGTGTGTGTGTGTGTTTTATCCACTCAGCTATGAAGAGCCTTAATAAGGAAAGATTGTAGCAGCAACTACTGCTGCTAATGCTGGACTTGATGCTGGTGGGAATCCACTATTTTATTTCTATTATTCTATTATATAGTATTTTATTTCTATTTGGACTGTTTTCTCATATAAGTAGTTTTCTATTTGTTACGTTTAGAACACAAACAACAGCTGACAGTCAATGACACACACACAACAGCTGGGAGTCAATCACCCACAAACAACAGCTGACAGTCAATGACACACAAACAACAGCTGACAGTCAATGACACACAAACAACAGCTGACAGTCAATGACTCACAAACAACAGCTGACAGTCAATGACACACAAACAACAGCTGACAGTCAATGACACACAAACAACAGCTGACAGTCAATCACCCACAAACAACAGCTGACAGTCAATGACACACAAACAACAGCTGACAGTCAATGACACACAAACAACAGCTGACAGTCAATCACCCACAAACAATAGCTGACAGTCAATCACCCACAAACAACAGCTGACAGTCAATCACCCAC